AAATTTTTAAAGGCCCCCCCCCCCCCCACAGTAACTTAAGTTACTTTACTTAAGTAAGTAACTTTGCAACTACATGTCAACTAGAGTATTAGTAGACTGTCTTCTTAATATCTTCTAACACTTTCTTAAGTGTTCTACTAACCCTAAACCTACCCTAACAGTCTACTCTGAGAGTTAGTAGACATGTAGTTACAAATTAATGAGAATTATTTGGCATGTAGTTGCAAAGCTACTTATAGTTAGTAGAATGTCTAAAGTGGACTATCGAAATAAAGTGTAACCATTATTTTTAATACATGACTGTTGAATCTCCAAAAAATCTTCTTAAGAAAAAAAAATCAGAAATTTGGATGAATTCCAAGTTCGTAAAAATGTTGTTTATATTTCATATTCAAATTAACATTTTCTCAAGAACATCTTACTTGATTTTTTTTAAAGCTTTGCTATTATCTGATTGTATGGATGGTTTTTGCACTGAACTCTGAGCTTTTTTTGCACTACTTGCATATTAATGCATAATAACTACAATAGTTTTTCTGTGTATGGCATTAAATGAAAAAATTTAAAACAAGGTAACTATTTTTTTTTTATTAATTTTATTATTATTATTTTTGAATAATTCTAACCGACTTTTGAATTCAGCAGAAAGCGCATAATCTTCAAGTCCCTTCAGAGTATGTCTCTAGGGTTATGTTGTAATGCTTAATATTTGAAACAACCCAATAAATTCATTAAACATCTTACGTTTGTGGATTAAGTTGGAGGTTATCTTAACTTTAAGAAGTTATTTATGATAATTTTTAAGAACATTCAAATTTTGTTTTAAAAAAGGATAATAATAATAAAACAAAAAAGTTTATTCGTAAGTTAGAAAATAAGAAGAAAATACTGTAGCAGTTCGTTTGATTCGTTTCACCCCAGATCGTGATGCATGGGACGTAATGCTCAATACGGCCCGGTCTACACTCTCACCTTTCATCTCAGTGTGTGATTTGCTCTGAGATTTGCCTACACAGGCTTTCCACTTTGAATCCATTGATTAAAGGCAGGAAAAGTGGGAGGGATTGACATTTTCGCACAGATCCTGGCCAGCGCAGCATGGGCACAGATTAATGGTGCTTGGATGAGTATTGACAGTCTCCTGTGAGGGATGCTGTTCATCTGAAGAACTTACCAAGGCTGGACCGTATTGATTGCTTAATATGAGATGGTCGAAACCTGCTAAAAGCAATGCGCAGGCTCGGATTGTGGTGGAAATATGACGCAACTGGGCATAAATGGAGGAGTTCACACTTACTAATAGCTCTATAGCTATCACACGATGCTCTAACATAAAGTGCTGTCTAGAATCTAGAAAGTGTGCGTAGTGTTTAAGTGACGGATGTCACATTTATTGACTGTTTTTTGCCCTCTTTTGTTGGAGATCTGTCACTCTCTCTTAAAAAAGGCATGGCTTGTGACTCTCAGTTGTGAATGTTTTGCATTAAGATAACGTAAAATACTTTGAATACTCTGAGATGGTTTTTGGCAGCATCACAACACCGCTAGTGCATTTATACTGAGTGAAACATAGTGAATATCTGTGTTCGTGATAGGGAGACCACACTGACTTACAGTTAAAGTTATGCAAAGGTATTTATTAAATGTGCAATTTTTTTTTCAAAAAAGTGGTTTTTGTTAGCATGATTTAGCATGCTGTCCTAGGATAGTCATTAAGCTTTGCTAGTGACAGACAGCTTAAACCAGAGATGTTCACAAGTCTTTAACATGGAGTCCGAGTCGAGTCTCGAGTCTTTGGTCACGAGTCTGAGTCGAGTCTCAAGTCATTTAATGGCTTGCAAAAAAAATCCCATTCAGAATCCTCATGCATTGAAATCTTCCTATTGATGAAGCTGTTTTATAGGCTATAGACAAAATATAGCCTATCATCTATGATCTGCTTTGTAAAAAAAAAAGAGGTGTTAAGATGTAAGGTTAATGTACATCCAGCCTGTTATTTATAGCATGTTCAAAACTGAAAAAATATGAGTCCGATCTACCATGACACATAAGGAAATATGTGACACAGATATTACAATACCATACAAATAAAGTATTTCTTTATGATATAAATCAGGGGTATTCAATTAAAGTTCCTATTCAATTAAAGTTACGGCTTCCGCGTACAAAAGTTAGCGGAAAGGTGCTTATTAAGTTTGAAATATGGATATTTTTCTTACAAAAACGCATGGATTCGCTACAGGAGGCCTTTAATCACCCCCCGGAGCTGTGTGAGGCACATTTTATTACGGATGCACACACTTTATTTCATGTCTTCTGGACTGTTGACAAAGCACCTCAATTGTAAGGCTTGGAGGGGCCAGGAACATTTTTTATATAACTCCAATTGGATTAATCTGCAAGAAGAAAGTCATGCACACCTATAGGATGCTTTGAGGGTGAGTAAAACATTTTTGGGTGAGCTATCCCTTTAAGGCGTGCCTTTAGCCCCGTTGTACCCTACTTTGCATGCACTGTAGAAGCCATTGGACAGCCGTCTCAGTAGTGCAGTGATGCAAATTCAAAGTGGTTCAACTGTCAAATTTCTTTTCATAGGCATATTTCTGTACGTCTTCAAAGCTGAACACACCTGGGGTTTGGTCTCCTCTTCATCCTTGTAGAAGTAGAGGTGGTCAGCACGCAACACAAACCAGCGCAGCTGCCAGTTCTTCATGATGCTCCTCTGCTTCTTCAGCCAGCCGGCCTTTAGCACTCCCTCTTGGAGACTCGGTGAGCCACGTGATGCCTCTCCCATCACCATGCTCTTGGACCTGGCTGCAGGTGATGAGAAGAGACGTACATGTCAGCGATCATCCTCATCATTTCTAGTCATGCATGATTTAAGGATGACAAGCACTTACAGTAGCAGAGGGGAAAACTGTCATCATTTACACAAAAGCAGAACTGTAGGCTATTGTGTGACTTCAGAAGACGTCATGAGTCATACCAAACACTTTTTATGAGACTTTTGCGGTGCTTTTGTGTCTTTATTTGAAGCTTGACAGCTTCACTCTCCATTCATGGCATAAATGCATGGAAAAAGTGATCTAAGCGATTTCTTAAAAATCCTCTTTGTTTTCCACGGATGAAAGAAAGCGTTAGCAAAAACATGTAGCTTAGGGATAAGTGCTGTGTTTAACCTGAGAGGCAGTGATTTATACTAAATAATATTCGACGATTATAAAATAAGAGTTTTTTTTTAATAACAGTATTTTTAATTTTTGTATTTTCCATTTTCGATTTATTTTTAGTCGAGATGTTGGTAATTTAGTTGTGTTTTTGCCATTTTTATAAGTGCCTCTTGGCTCTAGCATCAAAATCAATGTCTGGCTTTCAGAGAAAGAGAAGAAATCAACGTATTTTTTCTCATTTATATTATTATATTAAATAATCTTTTCACTCCCAATCCACTGGTGAGCTGGAAAACTGACTGCTCCTTAAATACCAAATTCATATAGAGTGCGGAAGTTGATTTAGAATGATAGAACTTAAAAATTTTCGTCCTTTTTATTAGTAATGCTATTATTTTCATTAGTACATTATATCTCTATATAGTTTCTACTACTTGATATAAAATGTACAAATATTTTATTTTGTTTCAGTTAACATTTATTTTAAGTTGCAAGAATGTTTTGTTATGGTTTTAGTCATAGCATTCCATAATAACCCTGCTATAAGCTTCTTTGCTTTGTGTGTTCAGCTTC